ACGACATTACGTGGCAGGGAACCCAAGAAACACGCACCACTATGGAGTCAGCAGGAGCAGCCGGAGTTTCCGAGACGATGGAGGAACGAGTCCAACGTCAGGAGATCATGATTCAGACTCTCGGGATCACCATGGAATTAGTATTCCAGACAATGGAACGATGGGAGAGAGGTGGTATCCCGTCACCATCTCCAACCACTCAACCACCTACAACACTGGTCACCGCTTCGCCATCTGGGTCCAGTGGGATTCGGCTCTCGCTCCCGAGGGCATATGATGGAACACCTGCCGGGTGCCAGGGATTTCTCCTCCAGGTCGAGCTGTACCTGGCCACCATTCACCTGGCGCCCTCGGGATACGAGAGCGTGTCCGCCCTCATCTCCTGTCTATCGGGGAAGGCGCTGGAATGGGCCAACGCTGAGTGGGGAGGTATAGACGCAAGCACTGTCCGCTACGAGGATTTCACCCGCCACTTTCGGGCGGTATTCGATCATCCACCAGAGGGGAGGGCGGCGGGTGAACGTCTGTTCCACCTACGACAGGAGATGAGGAGCGTGCAGGAGTTCGCGCTGGAGTTCAGAACTTTAGCAGCCAGCGCGGGATGGAATGAGAGGGCCCTGATCGACCATTATCACTGCAGCTTAAGGGAGGACGTCCGTCGGGAGCTGGCCTGCAGGGACACCGATCTCACCCTGAACCAACTGGTGGACATGTCCATCAGGTTGGATAACCTGTTGGTAGCCCGCGGACGTTCTGATCGGGGGCCGTCCATTCCATCCCCCAGCACCTCCGAGTCTACCCCCATGGAGCTCGGGGGTGCTGCGGTTAGGGAGACGAACAGAGGGACCGTCCCCTGCACCAACTGTGGCCGCAGAGGACACACTGCTGGTCGGTGCTGGGGAGGGTCCTCAGGGGGTCGAGGCAGCAGGCAGGGCACTGGTCAACCATCTCAGGTGAGTAGGCACCCGACTCCCCCAGAGCCTCCTGTTGCTAATTTGTGTATAGATATTGTTTTTCCAGAGGTTTCCCCCCATTCCCAGCATAAGGCGCTAGTAGATTCAGGCGCGGCTGGGAATTTTATTGATCGCCAGTATGCTCATAGTTTAGGGATTCCTACTGTGTCTGTTGATAAACCTTTCCCTGTGCACGCCTTAGATAGTCGCCCGTTAGGGTCAGGCATAGTCAGGCATAACCACTTCTGATGAGGACGCAGGGGGGTCATGAGGAGAGGATTAGCCTCTATCTGATTGATTCTCCTGCGTATCCTGTGGTGTTGGGACTTCCCTGGTTAACCATTCATGACCCCACGATTTGGCTATCGCCTTCAGTAAAAAGAGGGCGACTAAATTACCACCTCATCGTCCGGGGGATTGCGCGATAAATCTCCAGGTAGGAGCTGCACTTCCCTGGAGTCACGTGTATCCTTTGTCTCAGGAGGAGAGGGCGGCTATGGAGTTATATGTCACGGAGTCTCTAAGACAGGGATACATTCGGCCATCCACTTCACCTGTCTCCTCAAGTTTCTTTTTTGTGAAGAAGAAGGATGGTGGTTTACGCCCGTGCATTGATTACCGTGGCTTAAATCAGATTACCATCAAGTACAGCTATCCATTACCCCTGATAACTAGTATGACGGAATCATTGCACGGGGCACGCTTCTTCACAAAATTGGATCTCAGGAGCGCGTACAACCTAGTGCGTATCCGGGAGGGAGATGAGTGGAAGACGGCATTTAGTACCACCTCTGGACATTATGAGTATCTTGTCATGCCATACGGGTTAATGAATGCTCCATCAGTCTTCCAATCATTTGTGGATGAGATTTTCAGGGACCTGCGCGGACAAGCGGTAGTGGTGTATATTGATGACATACTTATATACTCCACTACAAGGGCCGAGCATGTGTCCCTGGTGCGTAAAGTGCTTGAAAGACTGTTGGAGCATGACCTGTATGCCAAGGCAGAGAAATGCCTGTTCTTTCAGGAGTCCATCTCATTCCTAGGGTACCTCATGTCCGCGTCTGGGGTGAAGATGGAGAGTGACTGCGTTTTGGCCATGCGTAATTGGGCGACTCCAACCACGGTAAAGGAGGTGCAGCGTTTCTTGGGGTTTGCCAACTACTACCGGAGGTTTATCCGGGGCTTTGGTCAGTTAGCGGCTCCCATTACCTCGTTGCTGAAGGGGGGACCGGTGCGTCTGCGGTGGTCAGCTGAGGTGGACAGGGCTTTTAGTCGCCTGAAGGAGCTGTTTACCACCGGGCTCCAGTGCTGGCTCATCCAGATCCCTCCTTGGCCTTCACGGTTGAGGTGGACTCATCCGAGGCTGGGATAGGCGCTGTACTTTCTCAGCGCTCGGGCACGCCACCCAAGCTCCGCCCCTGTGCTTTCTTTTCGAAGAAGCTCAGCCCGGTGGAGCGCAATTATGATGTGGGGGACCGGGAGTTGTTGGCGGTGGTCAAAGCCCTGAAGGCGTGGAGACATTGGCTTGAGGGGGCTAAACACCCTTTTCTCATCTTGACTGACCACCGCAATCTGGAGTACATCCGAGCGGCTAAGAGGTTAAACCCTCACCAGGCAAGGTGGTCCATCTTTCTAACCCGTTTTGTTTTCACCCTTTCTTACAGGCCGGGCTCCCAGAATGCTAAGGCAGATGCTCTGTCCCGTGGAGCCCACTCCCATACTTCCGGCGTCGTGTCTGGTGGCACCGGTGGTGTGGGAGGTTGATGCGGACATCGAGCGGGCGTTACGTGGCGAACCCTCTCCTCCCCAGTGTCCAGAGGGTCGTAAGTACGTACCGCTAGAGGTCCACGATCGTTTGATCTATTGGGCTCACACGTCACCCTCCTCTGGTCATCCTGGCATCGGTCGGACAGTGACCTGTCTTAGTGGGAAGTACTGGTGGCCCACCTTAGCCAAGGACGTGAGGGTTTATGTTTCCTCATGCTCGGTGTGCACCCAGTGTAAGGCTCCTAGACACCTGCCTAGAGAGAAATTACAACCCCTACCCATTCCACAATGACCGTGGTCCCACCTATCAGTGGATTTTATGACTGATCTTCCTCCCTCAAGGGGGAACACAACCATCCTGGTCGTTGTGGATCGGTTTTCTAAGTCCTGTCGCCTCCTTCCTCTGTCCGGACTCCCTACAGCCCTACAAACTGCAGAGGCCCTGTTTACACACGTCTTCTGGC